TAATGATGGGAGAGCAAGGAATAGAAGGATTTTGAGACACTGATGACATCTAATAAAACTGCTTACATTCAGAGTTACTTTTGTATGAAGGGAAAACCCTCTGATTAAGTCATTGTAGTAGAGTTTTCTGTTATTTGTAGCCAAATGCAATTTCTGATGCCAACCATCCAATCCATCAGCAAATCCTACAGTTTATACAGCAAAATACATCTTGAATCTGCCCACTTATCTCCTAGTCCATATCACTACCATCATCCTAGTCTTAGCTACCATCATCTCTTTCCTGGAGTACTATTATAATCACCTTACTGGTTACCTCACTTCTTATCTTTCTCTTCTCCCCATATAGCATCAGAATTATATGAAAATAAAATTCACTCATATAGTAGTTTAGTTAGGAATAGAGGAGAATTACCTCAACTTGGTAAAGGACAGCTATAAAAATCTTAGCTAACATCACACTTAATAGTGAAAAACTAAATGCTTTCTCCCTAAGATTAGGAGAAAGGTAAGGATGTCTGCTCTCACCATTCTTACTGAACATAGTACTTGAAGTTCTAGCCATTGTAAAAAGTCAAGAAAAAGAAATAAAGGCATACAGGTGAGAAAGGAATAAATAAAACTATTTATACTTGCAGATGATGACTGTCTACATAGAGAATTTCAAGGAATAGAAAAATCACTTTAGAACTAATAAGTAAGTTCAGCAAGGTTTCAAGATACAAGATGAACAGAAACATGCAGTCACATTTCTATATACCAACAATGAATATGAAGTAACTAAAATTAAAAACAGTGCCATTACAATCACTCCAGAGAAAATGAAGTACTCAGTTTATTTACTTAACAAAAGATGTACAGGATTTGTATGCTGAAATTTATGATGAAAGAACTCAAAGACCACCTAAATAAATGGAGAGATACACCATGGATTTGAAAGCTCAATGTAGTACAAGTGTCAGTTCTTCTCAAACTGATCAATAGATTTAATACAATTTTTATAAAAATCCCAGCAATTTTTTTGGTAGAAATAGACAAACGTATTTTAAAATTTAAATGAAAAAGCATAGGTTCCAGAATAACTAAAACAATCTTGACAAAGAAGGATAAAGTGGGAAGAATCCCTCCACTCAACATTAAGCCTTTCTCGATAGCAACCAAAACAGCATGGTACAGTAGTGGTGGAGAGGTAAGACGCATAAATCAACAGACAGAATAGAGAACCCAGAAACAGACTCACCCAGCTATGCCCAACTGAATTTTGACAAAGTGCAAAAGATATTCAACAGAGGAAGGATCACTTTTTCAACAAATAGTACTGGAGCAACTGAACATCCATAGACAAAAACAAAAAACAAAAAACCCTTTACTTAAACTTCATATCTTATAAACGTATTAACTAAAAGTGAATCCTAGATCTAAATGTAAAACTTAAAATATGGAACTTTCAGAAAAATACATAGGAGAAATTCTTTGGGATCTAGAGCTAGGTGAAGAGTTCTTAGATTTAACACTATAAGTACAATCCTTAAAAGGATAAATTGATAAATTAGACTTCATCAAAATTAAAAACTTTTGCTCTGCAAAAGACCCTATAAAGAGTATGCAAAGACACATTACAAATTAGGAAAAATATTTGCAAACCACATATGCAACAAAAGAGTAGTATCTAGAATATGTAAACAACCCTCAAAACTCAACAGTAAAAAGATAAACAATCCAATTAGAAAACGAGGAAAAGACATGAGCAGACATTTCTCCAAAGAGGATATACAGATGGCAAATAAGCATGTGAAAATATGTACAATATGATTAGCTACCAGGGAAATGCAAATGAAAACCGACAAAATATCACTACACATCTATCAGAAAGACTAAAATTAAAAATAGTAACAACATCAAATTCTGGCAAAGATGCAGAGAAACTGCATCACTCATACATTGTGAGTAGAAATGTAAAGTTGTACAGTTATTCTGGAAAAGTTTGGCAGTTTCTTATGAAATAAAATATACAAATATCATAAAACTAGAAATTATACTTTTGGGCACTTACCCCAGAATAACGAAAACACGTTCACACATAAATCTGTACACGAGTGCTCATAGCAACTTTATTCGCAATAGTAGAAAATAGAATTAACCTGTGAGTCCTTCCATGGGTGAATATTTAATCTGTGGTACTCCCATAACTATTCCCATAGACTACTACTCAGCAATGAAAATAAGTGATCTGTTGATGTATACAACAACTTGGATCAATCACTAGGGAATTATGCTGAAGAAAAAAGCCAATGATAAAAGGTTATACAATGTATGAGCAATTATATAACATTTTGAAAAGACAAAATTTTACAAATGGAAGACGAAATAGTGGTTGCCAGAGGTTAGGAACGGGGAGAGGGAATGAGGAGGTGGGTGTGGTTAAAACAGGGTAGCATGAGGGATTCTGATATTGGAACTATTCAGTATCTTGACTGTGTGATGGCTACATGAACCTACTACAGGTGATACAGTCGTAGAGAACTTAATCCACATATATAAATAAATTAGACTTCATCAAATTAAAAATAAAATTGGGGAACTCTGAATAAGGTGGTTTATATCTATGTCAAGATCCTGGTTGTGATGTACCACAATTTTGCAAAATGTTACCATTGGGGGAAACCAGATTAAGCATATGTGTTCGATACTCTGTATTATTTCTTACAACTGCAAGTGAATCTATAATGATCTCAATAAAAATCTCAATTAAAAGCAAGCCAACAAATGTTCTTACATACATTCAAGAAATCAATCATCTAAGTTATAAATAATAAATAAAATGTGTAAGCACTTTTGACTGTCCTTTGTTATTGAATTACTGCATTCTGTTGATTTTATTTTGTGGTTGGCTTTATTCCTTTGATAAAAATGTAAGTTTAAAAAGCTAAAGCTCTAAACTGTTTTTAGAAACAATGAACTGTGCATGTATGTAAATTTTTAAATGGTTATATCTCTCAATGAGTTGCTCTTCCTAGAATAAACTTTGTTTATCCCCCAAATAATAGCATATTATCCAATTAAAAAACCCAGCAAAACAAAAAATATACTTCAGATTGTGTCTTTTATGCTTAAAATCATTTAATGATTTCTTATTACACCCAGAAGGAAATTCAGACTTCTAAGGCTCTTACAATCTGGTTTGATTTTCTCTTCAGTCTCCTCTTGTTCTAGTCCTGTATTCTGTCACCATTCACCATACTGGCCTTCTTTTGGTGTTAAATAAGCCAACATACATCACTAAACAAGCCAACATACGTAAATGTGTTGTTCCCACTAAAACACTCATCCCTCAGCTTTTTCTGTGGCTGGCTGTTCCTCATCTTTTAGGTCTTGTCTTAGATGTCACTTTCTTAAAGAGCCTTCCTTAATGATGTCCTAACTTTACAGCAAACAAATGGGTTAGATTTGTAACTCAGGTTATTTGTAACTGATAAGGTAATGTTAGTATTTTAAATGGCGTGTATCTATCCATACAGACTAGCTATGTATTGAGTGACAGTATAAAAGAATACATTTCAAGAAATTTCCTCATTTTTGATTATTAAGAAATATCGGTGAACTGTGATTATAAATAGAACACTCAGGTGACAGTAGCCTGTGTAAAATTAAAAAATATATTCTCCTTTTCTTATTTTAAAATATCAACATATATTTGCATGTCTTTAAGTGCCTTAGAATGAGTACTATGCTAATGTCAGTAAGTCTGGAATATTATTATAAACCAGGGAAGTACATGTAAAATTTTGTAGCTATCAAGTTCTGGATGAGTTAGTCTTTGTGAAACTAAACAAAGAAGATGATTAACAAATGAACTGTAGTACCTCAGATATAATTAGTGTGGGACTGAAGGTATGAGTGGTCAAGATAATATGAATAAGCGAAAAGTTTGAATCAAATGAGTATGTGAAAATATATTATTTTAATACAGAAACCACTAATTTTGCTTATAATCAGAGGTTAAAATTGGGACTTATCTCAACAATAAAATTTATGAATTATTCCTGATATTTGTATACTGATAGTGAAAGGGTAGTGTTCTCTTAAGGAACAAATGCTCCTGATAAATATTTAGAAGTTAAGCATTGCTTTTAAAAAATATCAAGTAGTATATGTTTGTTTAGCTATTTTTCAATGTAAGGCTGCTAGTAGAATATCACTTCTTTGAGACATAATTTGAAGCCTATTTTTGAAATATTTTAGGATCAACACAAATGAATTACAATGCTGTGATTATTATTTGGTTCACTAATTAAAATTCACAGATACAAGGCCTATTATTTTAAAAAGTAAACGAAACTCCACATGACGTGACTTGCAGAATTT